GACGGGGATTCGAACCCGCGACCCTCGGATTGTGAGTCGAGCGTCCTAACCACCTGGCTATGCCGGGCCAATGTATTGAATAGAAAGCAACCATTTTGGTCACGACTGTATTTCTGTAATATCAACATTTCAAGCTTTTATTGCATCACAGTTTAGACTGTTTGTGTTAAAGCACAAAACTACACAATGTGCCATCTGTGTTCTGCCAACAGCCTATACCGAAACCCAATTTTTAGCGTCATAAGCCTACTCACTGACTTACCGCTGATCCACCAGAGGTGGACACAGTTTAACATCACTCAGAAAATGGAGTAAAACAATTACGGTGTACTTTGAAAGATGGGTTACCTCATCGACGTTCACTTTCACCTTAATTTTCTTATCGTGTGCTATAGACTAACTTGATGTCGAGAGTATTCTGTGTTACTCAGGGGATTGTGTTCTTTGATTGTCTGGAGACTAGGCTACCGATAACGATGATCACAAGGGAGAAAGTACCAGCTCTTTCTTAATGACTTACTCTGTTTAATCGACTACTAAATCAGTTAACTAAAGGCTAGAGAAACAACAGAGCAAAAGAGGCTTAACAAGCAAAGTTTCTGTTCAATTTTTGTTCTGTTTAATCCTATCTGAACGTCTGCCATGTAATGTCTATTTTAATCAATGAAATTATGTTAAATTTAGCATTTTATATATATATACGACAGGATTTTTCCGAGTTTACCTGAACTTCTGACAAAATGACATTTCGTCAATAAGTATATGAATATAATAAGAAAAAACTAATTAAAATCACTACCTTGTTTCTGGCTAACAATTTCGAAAGACTTGAACATTAATCTAAGAATTAGACATTAAACAGCAGGTTTAGTGTAATGTTCGCTTGATCAAGTAACATTAAATGGTCTTATCAACCATGAAATTGTTTATTTTGGTTGAACAAGATCCAGCTCTTCCCTTTCTTCTGTTTCACTAAACACTCGACATACATTTGAGAAAAAAGAAAACTGAAACACCTTCTATCTAACTCAAATTGATTACTTTCACTATTTCTGTCTAACCAGAGCCTCAGGAAGAAATAACATCCCACATGAACGCATGTCCACTATGCTCAGCAATCAAACTTTAACATTTCTTTTTCAGAGCTACTGTGTGTCGGTTTCATATTATGTGAGCTTAGTTTTTGTTTACTCAAACAATTAATTGTCTTTACAAGAAATTATTATGGAATCACTTTCTTTATCAGAGCTTCAATGTTCCTGTTTCATATTTTGTGGGTTTAATTTTGTTTACTCAAAAGATTACTAGTCTTTACTGAAAAATATTATTGACTTTACTCACACAATTAATCGTCTTTACTGGTTTGTTTTGAATTTCGCGCAAAGCTACACGAGGGTTATCTGTGCGTCTTTACTTGAAATATTATTGACTTTACTCACACAATTAATTGTTTTTACTGGAAAATAGTATTGAAATATTTTCCAGTAAAGTCAATAATGTTTTCCAGTAAAAACAATAATATTTTCCAGTAAAGTCAATAATATTTTCCAGTAAAGACGATTAGTTGTGTGAGTAAAGTCAATAATATTTTCCAGTAAAGTTGTGTGAGTAAAGTCAATGTGTAAGTAAAGTCAATATTATTTTCCAGTAAAGACGATTAAAATTAATCGTCTTTACTGGAAAATATTATTGACTTTACTCACACAATTAATTGTTTTTACTGGAAAATAGTATTGACTTTACTGAAAAGATTATTGACTTTACTCACACAACTAATCGTCTTTACTGGAAAATATTATTGACTTTACTGGAAAATATTATTGTTTTTACTGGAAAACATTATTGACTTTACTGGAAAATAATATTGACTTTACTCACACAATTAATCGTCTTTACTGGAAAATATTATTGACTTTACTTACACAATTAATCGTCTTTACTGGAAAATATTATTGACTTTACTCAAACAATTATTCGCCTTACTGGAAAATATTATTGAATCGCTTTCTTGGGCAGAGCTTCAATGTTCCTGTTTAATATTTTGTGGATTTATTTTTGTTTTGTAAATGTAGTTAATAATCTTTAAAGGATCATATTATTGAATGACGTATTCTTTACATTTTAAGTTTCGGTATCCTTGTTTTATATTTTATGGTTTTATTTTTTGTTTTTTTAAACAGTTACAACATTTACAGGTACACATTAATGAATTGTTTAGTCTATATTGTTAAAGATTCGATGTTCCTGTTTCATATTTTGTGGTTATATTTTCTAAATAATTATTCATCTTTAGTGAAACATCTTCTTGAATTAATGTATTTGAAGTCAGTGATTTTTCTTTTGCGTAATACACATCATGAAGGATTTTAGTCAACTATCGACTTGCCTTTATAGGGTCCACATATTGCACCATACTGAGTGGTGTTCATTATCGTTAGGTGCTATTCACCATCGTTAGGGTCTACGTATTGCACCATATTTAGTGGTATTCACCATCGTTAGGGTCTACGTATTGCACCATATTTAGTGGTATTCACCATCGTTAGGGTCTACGTATTGCACCATATTTAGTGGTATTGACCATCGTTAGGGTCTACACATTGCACCATACTTAGTGGTGTTCACTATCGTTAGGGTCTATGTATTGCACCATAATTAGTGGTATTCACTATCGTTAGGGTCTACATATTGCACCATACTTAGTGGTGTTCACTATCGTTAGGGTCCACATATTGCACCATACTTAGTGGTGTTCACTATCGTTAGGGTCTACATATTGCACCATACTTAGTGGTGTTCACTATCGTTAGGGTCCACATATTGCACCGAACTGAGTAAGGTATTCTTTTCCCTTTTACAACACTCAGTTAAAGAATTGATCGAAAAATCAATTCAGTAAAATAATTCAATTTCTACTGAAATATATAAATAACCAAGCTGTAAACAGTAGGGTTAACTATAATATTGTCCATATTTTACTTTACATTTTTCTGGTGTTATTAGGGACCCTGTGAGCAACAAACTCTGGACTCACGAAGATATCAATTATAAATCGTTAAAAGGAAAAGGTGTTAAAAAGACAATGGAGGGGGGTCTACATATACGTATCCCCTCGGTAATTCTGGGTTTAATCCTATTTTCAGTAGAATGGATGAATTCGTCAAATTTTATACAATATATATATATATATATACACTAGTTTCATTGATATTGGAACTGATTAGATATTTCTAATAGCGACTTATATGTTCATCTGTTTTCAGTTATCGTCAGACACTTTGAAGTTCAAGTGTATAATGAATATGTAATCCGGGGAAACTCTGCAGTTCTCAAATGCCACGTGCCTCCGCACGTGCAAGATTTAGTGGAGGTGACATCATGGATTCAAGATGGAAATATACATATCACATCCTCGGCTTTACGAGGTCAGATGACACTCAATAGCATTTACTAAAGCTTATTATTATTTGTCTTAACTGCAAAATCTTTATTACTTATATTATATTTAATAAGTATATTTATGATCTTAAGAGAAATTG